TGGTGTTCGGGTGGCACCGGCAAAGTCCATGTGGAAAAGAACTTGCAGAGATTGGCTTTACTTTTAGCTAGTCAAAATCGTGGTCAAAGTAGAGCTTTCATATCATGATTGGTTTGATTGTATGTATTTTTGTGTGTGTACGCGTGTGTGTGCGTGTGTTGGTACTAGGTTCACGGAGGTAAAATACTCGGTTATTCATACATTTATGGCTGTGTTTAGTATACTGTATAGGTATATGACATATTATCATTGTGATCATTATAGTAATGATGATGATAATAATGATAAAATTAATAATGATAATACTATTGCATTGTTCTCATTATCATTATTACTGCCATTTGATGATCGTTTTTATAATGCTTCTCTCTTTCAGTATCATCATTACTATTACAATTACTATCATTTTTACCTCCGCCAAGGAGGTTATGTTTTTGACGGCGTTGGTTTGTTGGTTTGTTAGCAGCGTAGCTCAAAAAGTGTTGGCCGGATTCCATCGAAATCAGAAAGGGACTAACTTAGAACTGATTAAATTTTGGTGACATTCCGAATTACCGTCTGGACGCAGCCAAAGTATATATATTATATACGCACCTTGGCGGAGGTCTGCACTCTCTGAGTGCTTTTCTAGTTATTACTAATTCGATAACAATAAGAATAAGGAATTATAAAGAAAAAGTAATATAAATCAACAACAAAACAGATAATATTATAATAATCATTACTGCTATTGATTATCATTGATAGCATTATCACCATCATGTTCATCCCCATCATGAACACTACATGATTACTGCTGTCAGTACCAACAATAATTGAATTATCATCATTATCAACATAAATGACAACACGATTGTGACGTTGGCTATAATACTGTGTTATGTCTGTTATTGTCTTTGTTTATATTTTGTTACTAACAGTTCAATGGAGATAAATAACGGTCATTATTTGTTTCCTAATTTTTTTTTCTCGTTTTTTCCTGCAGTCTATTCGGTTTATCTGTCCATTAACAAACTATAGTTCCTTTGTATATTTTCGATTCATTAGATTGATTACTTATCCATTAAAGCATTACTTATGCTATTTACTTATTCATTCATCAATCCTATTAATTGCTCATTAAATTAGCAATCTTTTTATATGCCAACTGAAAAACTGATTTCATTATCTATTTGATCTACCATTCCTGCATAAATAATAATAATAATAAAATACTAGACTTATTACCTCTCTAAGGAAGAAACTAGTCATATTGTTACTTATTGAACAGGCTAGTCCCAGTAAATCAAATCACCAGTAATCATATAATTATTTAATTATCATTTTACTAGACTAGAATCCACTTAGTCATAGAATAATCACAGCTGTAATCTCTGTACCTGAATAAAGTCTAATGCAAGCGGAAATGCTGTTGCAATTCCATGGTCATGTAAGATTAAGTGTTTCCTCTGCAGCCCCCTCTCTTCGTTCCCCTCCCCCCCCTCTATCCACCATAATGGCACTCCCCCCTACCTCAATAACACCTCCCCTCCCCCCTTCCCTCTCTAGCTCATTAATATCTTTACCTTCGGAACTTCACTCACCCAAGCGCATCTCCGTTTACTCAGCTCCACTTTATTTTCTTATCCATTTTCAGTCTTTACCTTACTCACGAAAGCTTATGTTATCTTCTCGTCACCTGGATTCGTCTGTTCTTACGCTTCTGATATCATACTGACTCTTTCATACTTCTCTTCAAACATACTCACCCAATTTCTTCCTTATACCGACTCGTCCATTCTATTTCTCAACCAAAATCACCCAACTTCGTCCTTATACTGACTCACGCATCCTTATCCTCGATATTACTCACAGTTTCATCCTTAAACTGTCTTATTTTTTATCCTGACTCATACCTTATACCGACTCAACCATCCTTATCCTCAACACCACTCACCCAGTCTTATCCACTTACCGACCCATCTAATCTCACAAATACCATTTTTCGTCATACAATTAATACCACAATCACTGCATTTCATTTATTCTTAAACGGTTATAATGTGCATTTTTCGCTTTTCCGTTTTCTTCCTCTCATGCTCGACCGAAAATCCTTCTTCCCGTTTTCTATGCTGCAACATCGCTTCTGCTTGTATTGTTTGCATCTCCTTCGTCTCCCTTTCACTCTCTTGTTTCGTTTTGTTTCGTTTTGCTATGAATGTTATTGTTAATCATTATCATTATTATTGTTATTATCATTGTTATTTTCTTCATCAGCAGCAGGATTATCATTATCATCACCATCATATTTTGCTCGTTCTGTCCAACCAGTCATGCCTCTGTCGGATATTTATTGGTTAATCAGTATGATTATGCGAAAAGTTATGCAAAGTTTATGGGTGGGCTGTCTGTGCCACCGAATCATTAGATTTTGGTGATCTATACACACACTCACACACATATGCGTGTGTGTGTGTTTATGTGATTGCGTGTGTGTGTGTTTGTGTGCATGCGTGCATTA